GCGAGCTGTCACAGTTGTCCTAGTGAGGCTACTGTACACCATGATTAATGCTTTTGAAGGTCTCTCACATAACAACTTATCCAAGGCCAAAATAGTGCACAGACTATCTAGCCAAGAGAGGGGGAGGAGTGTAGAAACCAGCAAGGGCCAGCCTGAGGAGGAAATGTCTTGGTGAAAGTCAGGCAGAGGGTCGGATTGCCATCCATTACCATCTTTTTGAAAATCAATTGGTGAATCAAACATTTTTTAGCTGTTTTCTTACCCATCCCCTGTGAACACGAGGCAAGGGGGACTTATCCCTTAGACACAGTAGGTGGCATGACTAAAGCCCATGATACACTTAGGGTACCACAGAACTGGCTTCATGTCTGATATAAAATGGGGCTGATGACAATGGTGGTTGTGCAGGCAAACACAGGATTAATCAAGTACATTGTAAAGCATAACCCCATTATTAGAAGCTATCTTCAATGTTCCGGACATCAATACCTCCCGGAACATTCACTGCTTCTTGAAGGAAGAACCACAGAGCACTTAATTTGGCCTGGTTGTCTTTAATTTGACAATAAATACAATTTATTGCTTGGCAAGGGCTCGGGAAGATATTTCTAGAAAAGGTAAGGGTGAGAGAGAAGGGAGTAAGTCAGTAACAAGAAAGTGGGGAACTCTCCCAGGCCCACAGGGGCCCAACACAAGGGATGAGCGCCCCTTTGTACAGGGTCTACAGCCAGAGGCACAGAAGTCATTGTAAGACCTGCAGCTGCCACCAGAGTTAAAGAAAAAAAAAAAATAAAAGAAAGAAAGAAAAAGAAAAAGAAAGGAGAGTCCCTGTGCAGTGTAAGCATTCATTCTTGGATGCTCTAAGCACCACAAAGGTGTCTACTACTGTACTCTGACATTAAATAATTACTAAGTGTTTGGAGGCCGTGGACTTTCTCAAGAACGCACTGTCCTTTTTGCACAGTGCATCTGAGCAGCAACCATGCTCTTCAAACCCATCCCCAAACTCCTGCTCCTGGACACCCAGGAAGCATGGTAGGCTCTGATTTCACCCTCTGCAAAAACTCAGAGCAAGCAGCCTCCTGACTAATCCTATTAGCTTAATTTCTATCCCCTGCCAAGTACTGGCCACTGGACATGGAAGGCTGCGCCGGGAGACAGTCCCTGAACATTTCTCCAAGACCTCCAGAGCTAGTGGGGAGTCTTTCCCTTAAACCCTATAACTCAGCTTGCATTATTCAGCACAATTCCTTCCTCTGGAAAGACAGCCCAAAAAGTCCAGACTAGTCAGCTGAGCTGCAACTTGGAGTCCCAAGTTCTGCACTCACACACGCTCACCTCTAGCGCTCGCCTTGCGAGCACCTACCGCACCCGCCTCTGACGTGTGACCCCGCCTCTACGCATGCGCACCTCAGCAGACCCAACCCCCCCAACAAGTCCTGGTAACGAGAGAGCCGGGGAGGGCGCCTGTAACAGTGCGTGTACCTGGATTAGACGCCAGAAGAGGACCCTTCCAGGCCACCGTTCACAGCTCTAGCCCAGCCCAGGGGATCATAGGGGACGCCAGCTAAGAATCTGACGAAGCCAACAGCTTCATCGACAGCACTCAGGATATGGAGCCTCCTCAAGGGTGCAGCCCCGGAGCCACCGGCTTGCTCAGCCCGACCGTCGATGAGGACCGGGAAGAACCACATGGTCAGTGACTGGACTGGACACACGGCCAGTCAGATCGTGGCCCCTCCCCACCTCCTTCCCACACACCCTGGGCTCCGACGCCCTGAGCTTTCTCTTTGGGTTTCCTCCTTTCCAGATGCGACGCCTGAGGAGATCTCACTCACTGTAGAGTCCAGAGAGTCCCGTCCTGAGCAGGAAGGAGCAGCAGCCCAAGAAGAAGATGAGGAAAATGAAGGAGAAGAAGGTCATGATGGCGCAGGCGCTCTCAGCCATATCGACGGCGAGAGCCATGAGGGCGGCGGCGTGAGTGGCGGTGGCGCCGCGAGTGGCGGCGGCGCGAGTGGCGGCGGCGCCGCGAGTGGCA